CTGGGAAGCTGGGTGAGTGGGTCTTTGTCATAGGGTACGTGGTAATGGGCAGCCCCCAACCCTCCTTGCCCCCATGGAAACCGATGCTCCCACCCCTTTCCTCCCCAGGGGTTAACACCCACTCTCACCGTCTTTTTTCTCTATGGCATTGGTTTCCAACTCTGAGCAAGCATTAGCATCATCTTGGAGGGCTTGTTAAAACATGGCTTGCTGGGCCCCATGCCAGAGCATCTACTTCAGCGTCCTGGGGCAGGGCCTGGGAATTGGCCTTTCTAACCATTTCCCAGGTGATGTAGATGCTGCTGTCGGGACATCACTGCACGATGGGACATCACCCCAGAGACATCTCATTCTCTTATTTTCCCAGGGAAATGCTCCTTTCATTCTCTTAGTGTTTGCCTTGAAGCCTCAGGGCAGCTGGTGTAGCTGTCCCCTCCTGGCTGAGCAACGACCCCCTTTGTCCTCTCCCTACCCCTCTCTTCCCCCTCCCCAGAGGCAGCCATTCCCTGTGTGTGTGTGTTATAACCTTCCCCTGTCTTGATTTCCAGTTAGCACAGGTTAGTTTTGCCTGGTTTCGAACAGCTGTATATTTTTAAAATCTCTCCTGGTTTCCCTGGGAACATCTTGCTGTGACTTATTTGTCTTCCCATTATGCTCCCACTGCCCCACTCACAGCCCACACTTGAGCTTTCCCTCCTCTGAGGAGAGCAGCGTGCCAGCCAGCCCCCTCTTCACCTCCCTGAGTGATGGCTTGGTCCCCAGTGTGCCCACACTCCCTGCCCTGCCTGATTCTCATGAGGGCCAACTGGTCAGTCCTCTGCATTCTTCCTTTTCTCACTTTCAGCCTGCATCTCGTGCAGGGAAAAGGGTCTCCTCTTGGACCTCCCCAAATAAGATGTTTAGACAGGAGCCAAACAACCATGCTGCTACCACAGAGCTGGCCAAAGTCGGGGTGGCGGGGCAGAGGCTGAGCCCGCCCAGCCCTTACAGCCTTTCTGACTGCACACCCAGCTGGGAGCCTCTTCCCCGTGAGACAAGCCTTTCCCTTGTCAGCAGCGAGTCCAGCTTCACGTTGGACTAGTGTTTGGTTCCTAACATGTCCCAGCCCACCCTTGGCCTGCTCTTTACGAATGGCGGGGTTCTTTTCCTGCCATTCTTTTGCCCTCACTAGTCACCTCTGGGCAGGTCGCAGTTCCTCTCTGTTGGCACCTCTTGTATCTATGACCCAGGTTTCTGGGCAGGATGGTATATTAATTTCCTAGGGCTGCCATAACGAAGGTGGTTGAAAACAATAGGACTTTATCTTCTCACAGTTCTGGAGGCTGGCAGCCTGAAATCCAGGTGTCAGTAGGGCTGTGCTCCCTCTGAAACCTGGAGAGGGGGAAATCCTTCCTGGCCTCTTCCTAGCTTCTGGTGGCTGGCATTCTGTGGAATTCCCTGGCTTGTAAATGCATCGCTCCAACCTCTGCACCCATGTCGAATGGCCATCTTCCCCCATATGTCTCTTCTTATATAAGGACAGCAGTCACGCTGGATTAAGGGCCCACCCTACCCCAGTGTGACTTCATCTTAACTAATGACATCTGCAATTACAGTGTTTCCAAATAAGGTCACATTGAGGTACTGGGGTAACCCATATCTTTTTCATGTATCTTTTTGGGAGACATAATTCAACCCATAACAGATGGAGTAGTGAGGAGCCTCAGGGAGGGCAGGAGGCCTGAGATTAAGTCTCCAGGCCAGGCATTGGGGTTGCTAACGTCCTGCCTCTTCTACCTGGTGCAGAACCCCGTAGGTGTGGGCCGCTACCTCAACACTTGGCTGATGGAGACAAAGGACCAACGGCAGCGATATCGGTCCCTGTTCCTGGCTGGAGCCCAGCGCTACCTCTCAGACCCTGCGCGGGATAAGCTTATGCAGTGAGTGCCACTGGTGCTCCAGCAGAGGGGCCAGGGCAAGGAAGGGCTCCCTGTGGGGTGGGCGGGGGCTCGCTCCGCCTTACGCTTGCTTCCAATGGAGACACAGCTGCTGCCCCTAGTGTCAGCCAAACAGCTGTGGTGGTGGAGAGAGTTCTCATCCTGGCTTTATTGCTTACTGGCTGTGCGAGATGGGGTTCACCTCTCTGGGCCTCATTTCCCTCAGCTGTCAAATGAGCAAGGGACTGTGGAGACCCAAATGAGATGCTCTATCTAAAGCTTGTGGTAAGGAACTCATCAACACTAACTCCTGCGCCCAGACCCCACACAGCCTAGCCTCTGAAGTGCAAGGCTTCGCCCCACGGAATCTCAGTTTCTTGGTTTTCTTAATGGGGTTGGTAAAACTCATTTCAGGAAGTCGTTGTGAAGCCAGAGGAAGAAAGTGCGTGAAATACCGTGGCTAGCTGTAAAACAGCTTGCAATTGTTAGCTGCCGCCATATTTTATTGAACTAAGAGACCAACAATTGCAATGTATTCTCAATTTCAGAAATGTTAAAATGTAAATAAGCATGCACTTTAGAGCTGATCATTTTGTTGTTGGAGATCTTGGGGCATGAGGACCAGATCACTCAGGGAAAACCAGCTTTAAACTATTTTTGTCAAAGTAGTTTTGTGTTTTCTTTCTTGATTTACTCTCTTGTTTTGGTGGCTTCCATAGAAATGGTAAAAAGATGTAACATTTTTGATAGACTATCATGCCTACATGCCTAAAAATAAATGTTTTTTTTCCTGCCTGCACAACTGATCAATAGTTTGGTTGGAAATAAAATTTTAGGTTGGAAATAATTTTCCCTTGGAATTTTGAAGGCTTTGCTTCATTGCCTTCAAGTTTCAAGTGTGGTTGTTGAGAATTCTGATGCCATTTCAATTTTTTTGTCCTTCGTATGCAACCTGCATGGTCCTTTCTGGAAGCTTCTAGGATTTTCTTTTTGTCTCCTGAAGTTTCATGATGATGGGTCTTCGTGTGAGTCTATTTTCATTTATTGTTTTGGCTCTCCATGAGTTTCTTCTTTCTGGAAACTCAGGATCTTCTATTCCAGGAAGATTTTTGCATTTTGGTCTTTGGTGATTTTCTCTGTTTTCTCTTTTTTCGCTTTCAGATGAATCTTAGACCTTTTATTTGATGTTCTATTTTTCTTATCTTTTGTTTCTGATATCTGACCTCTGCCTTTTCTGTCCTATCTTCTGGTAAATTTTTCCCTGTCCTTATCTTTAGACCCTACTATTGCCTTTTATATGTTGGCTTTCATCTTTTTTAGTTTCCAAGAGCTCTTGTGTGTTATGGATTGCTTCCCGCCCCTCCTCACAATCTTTTAATAGCACCCAGTTCTTTGTCATGTCCTTTTATCTAAGGATAATGGCAGTTTTCCTTCCGTTCCCTTTTGCTCCCTGCATTGTATCCACTTCTTCCAAGGTCCTTTTTTTCCTTTCACTTGTTTTGTTCGCATTTAAGAGAAAAACACTAAAAAAATGCTGTGCGTCTGGGTGGGGCTTGTCGGTTGGTGGCTTCACTGGGAGTGATTGATGGGGATCTGGTCATTCCCTTGGGAGACCCTCAATGTCAGTGTTTCGAAGTGTTTTCCCTGGGACCATTCAGCTTCTCTAGAAAAGGATCCCGCATCCTGGGGGTTGGTGGAGGCGGGGGGGTGGGGAGTGTGGGTGCTGGTGTTTAGGGAAGGGGGCTGGGGGTCTCAACCAGTATATGGTCTTCCACCGGCTCCCTCTGTTCTCACCGGCACCTGGCTGCCTACCTTCCACTGCGCCTGCTTCCTCCTTAGTGTTGGAGTCTCTCCCAACACTAAGCCTTCAGTCTCCTGCTGGGTGGGTGAGGAGTTGGTTGGGGAGGGAGTGTGTCTACCTTTCCCCTTGATTTCAGCCATCTGTCTTGTGCCTGCTTTTTGAGATACTGGCGCTTCCAATTCCAGGACCTCTCTGGGGTTTGTGGCAGGAGCCGGCAAGCTTCTCATTGGCTCCTCTACTGCAGGCAGCTCTTGGGTCAGCCCTCTCAGCTCTGCAAATGCTTCCTCGCACTTTGCATTTCCCCAAAACTTAACACCTTTGTCCCCTTTCTTGTTTATCTATTTTTAAAAAAAATTTCTATATAGTTTTTTCAGTGGATCGCAGGAGAGAGGAGAGATAAATGCCTATATTCGTCTGCCTTATTTAATTGACAGTCATATGGAACTTTCTTATTGTGCAAAAACATTTTCTTTCCCTTTCTAGCCAGGGTGGTTAGCTTTCTTTTACAGGTGTTCAACCAGGACCAGAGAAGGGAGCAACTTGCCCAAGGTCACACAGCTGGTAAGTGATAGAGCTGGAACTAAAATACAGTCCTTTCCCTCACAGAGCGGAGCTCATTCCATACACCAATGTGAGTGTAACTATGGAAGACTGGGCCCAGGCTGTTGACTGTAGTTATACCTGGAGGGTTACCAGGGTCTTTCTCATTCCACCTTGTTTTATTTCTGAAATTTTTGAAGTTTTCAAAATAAACATTATTTTTATAACCGGAAAAAAAAAGGAAAGAAAGAAAAACAAATAGAAAAAGGACGAGCGCTCTTGAGAGAGACTATACAAATTATGAGTTCTCCTTGTAGACCCATCTCTAGCCAAGAGTCACCCATCTTCCAGACCTCAGTTTTCCCACCTGGAAAAGGAGAATAATTTATATCCTGCAGGGACATATATCCTACAGGGTCAGCCTTAATTAAGGATTATGAATGTTACTGAATGGAAGCCAACCAGCAGGTCCCTGTGGGCGTCTGATTGTCAGGCTGCTGTATGACTCTCCCTGAGGCTCAGGTTTGGCATTGTCCATGGAGCCCCAACCCACGTGGGCTCTTGGACCCACAGTCAGAATTATGTCACGAGCCACAGAATATAGGTCATAGGTGGGAAGAGGATTTCCTTATACACTCTTTTATGGATTGATTCCTTTAAAAAACCTGCTCCGTGTTCGGTCTGCCTGGGGCACTTCTGAGCTGCCGATTGTTTTCAGGTGACCAGAAATGTTCTCTCATTCACTCACTGAGTTTTTCGTTTTTGGTGTTATATTTTAATTTCTAAGAGTTATTTTCTGTTTTCTGAATGTTCCTTTAAGTACAACGTGCTCTTATTTCATGGACACAATGCTTTCTTATCCTTCGAAGATGTTATTTTTGTTGTTGTTGTCATTGTTGTACCTGTATTAGCATTTATTTGATGCTAAATTCACTCCAGGGCCATAAATTTTTGTTTCTTCAGTTTCTTCTGGGATGTCTTTTTCTTCTGTGCCACCTCCTCTTCCGGTTTAGGAACAGTCTGCTCTTTTTCACTGAAGATCATCTCAGTGTTGCAGAGAGATGAGCTCTGTAAGTTCTGCGCCTCCTCTGGGAGCTTCGTTCACCTGGATGTGCTTAATGACTAGAGAATCTACATCTAACCCTTTAAGTTCAGCATCACTCGCTGCATTTTTAAGCATGTGCAGCAAAAATTCAGCACTCTTTTTGGGCCACCGACCCTGCATCCAGCCCCACTGTTGAGTGGGGGCACACCTACCAACTCCACCATTGTAATGATGGAAAGGCACACATTGCTTCTGTAAAGTGACATCCTTCAGCTAACTGAATGGCTTTTCGGATATGCATACCCTTGATGGCCTGGGCAGTTTCATGAGTGTTTTTAAAGTGAATACGAAGATTTGAACCTCTTGATTTGCACAATTTTATGGGGTTTTCTGGGTCAAGTGAATAGCAAACCACTTTCAGAGGTCACTTCAGGCTGCTTACAGGAAGAGCTGAAGATATTATTGAGATGATTGCCTGACATCCTCTGCTTTTTTTCAAATCACTTTTTTTTCTGTCTGTTGTTTTGGCCTCAGTCTTCCATATCTGAGATTTCTCTCAAATGTCTGGTGATCCTTGGCTGTTGACTCATGCCTAACTAAAAATCCCACTGAAGGCCTTTTGAGCCACGCTTCTCTTGCTCAGGCCCGCGTCCACGTCTGGAAGTGTACTTTCCCTTCTAATAAAGCTTTTCTTTTTCCGCTGTAAAAAAGTAAATAAACATAAATAAAAAATAAAAATAAATAAATAAAATTTTTTTGATTGTTGATCACAGACTTCATCATCAGATGACCAAGCTGAGTGTTCTTGGGGGAACTTCCATGTCCATGTTGTTAGAATTTTTCTCTTGGCCTAGGTTCTTCTGGGAGATGTAAGCCTGGCTGCCAGAGCTCCAAGTGGAGGAGAAGAGCCTAGTGGTCTCAATATTTAGCGACCGAACTCCCATTTAATTCCCTGTTTTAAATATGGTACTCCCGATATCAAATGTTTCCGGTGTCATCCTGTAGAGAGAACCTCTCTGTCTTCAGAGGATAAATTCTCCAATCTTTATTCATGAAGGGCGCTCATCTGGATGCAGAGAGTAGGGTGGGAAACTGATATCACACAGACTTCAAATCAATTTCAGTTCCACCTTCACTTCCGCTTCCGGGAGTACTTGGGGCTGTCAGTTCCCCAGGCCTGTGGAGCTGAAGGAATTCTGAGCTTTATCTTCTCCTGGCTTAAGGTTTAGATTTCTTAGGTCTGCTACCCAAGAAAGTTAGTTACCATTCTTCCATCTGCTTTAAAGTCCCAAAATATTTTTTCTTACTGCTGCCCCTTCTATTCTTTTTGTCCTTGTGGGTACGTGCTTTAAATTTTTATTCCTTTACTCTTGTTTTAGTGGGATTTCAGGAGGTTGGAAAGTTAATGTATGCATCCAATCCGCTTACAGTGTTGTGAAATGTTTGAGTTTCAAAAGTAGAATAAAAATCTTGCAAGTATTACATCTAAAAGGACAAACTACAATCTAAATAAAAGACAGTCAGACATGTTTTGAGCATCTCTTCTGAAAAATGAATAATAAAAAACACTATATAGAATTCTCAAGAAAAAGACTTGAGACTGTAAAATTTTCTATT